TCTTCTGGGGAAATGGATAGGGAGAATATGAAACCTCTACCTTCACATCCTTCCATCACAAGCCATTTTACTGATGCTGTTTCTGACTGTATCCTTATTAAATGACAGAGGCGAAATGTGCACTCACAGTTTCCAAACAGATAGTGTCCTTTCCTTTTCATATTCAGCCCCATTCTTCCAGGCTTTCTTGGTTACCTCAGACCACTTGCCTTCATCCCAATGGATTTGCTTGTCATGATGTTTGCTTGACTGTTGTACTTGATGTACTGTTGCTGTTACTGTAAGTACACTGTCCAGGGCTTAATTCTTATCTGCTGGATGGGTTGCTGACCTGGACTCGATGGAACTGACAACAAGCAGTGTGAGCATGCAACAAATACTTAATACAGAAAGTTAGTGCAAAGTTGTCACAGTGCTCTAGTGTCACATCTGCCTCTATTTCAAAGTGTAAATCCTTGTGTATAGAACCATTTAGGTTGTAAAAGACCCTTAAGATTGAGTCCAACCATATGGCAAACTGATGGGTGGATCTTTGGGATGTCAAATGGTCTAGAGAAATGGTTATTACTGCAGAGATTGCACATGCGTTCTTTGATCAATGGATGTTAATGCAAATCTCCATGAAAGGCCATGAAGTCTAGCCCTGGATGTCTTTGGCAACACCAACACATACTTGCCTCACATAAATGGACTATGTGTTTGGCTCTGGCAGCACGAATACATGTGTGCAAGCACCTGGCAGATCACTTCCATAACAGCACCCAACCTGGTGACAGTCTGTGCAGGACTTGGCAGTCAGTGTTCTCTCTGACTCTGCTTTGCTGCAAACAAGCTCCTTTTTGGAACCAGCCTGGGCGAGCTCCTGTTCTGAACACCTGAAACCATTCTAAGATATAGAAAATACAGCAGAGAACCTTGATCTTTAAATCAGAACACCCCTCATGGAGCCAGCATCCTTTACGTTGTTTTAGAGAGATTGAGTAAAAGTGAATTTCTCATTTTATTGACTCTGGTATTTGCTCTTGCTGCTGGCTGCCTCTTGAAGATATATTAGTCCTATGAACTTAATAGATTAAGCCTTAAGACAATTAGATCCTGTCCTGACAAAACCAATTATTTTCAGAACAAATTGGTTATATTTTTGTCCTACAGATAAACCGATCTCTTGCACACAAGGGATATTTTGCCATTCCAAGATGGATGCTAGACGTTTCCACCCAACACTTGTCTAGGAAAAAGCTCTTCATCAAAATGAGTGAGAATTTTCAGGAACAGCTAGAGAATCAGTAGTGACATGTCTGAAGTCAGGATTACTGTAGCAGAAATAGGGGAAGCTGGGGCTTGCTTGCATCGCAGTGCTCCAGTAACTCTGCTCTAGAGACTGAATCGTAAGCTTGTGTGGGGCAGTTCAAGAAGTTAGCACCTCTGGTCCTGCAGGCAGTATGTCTGTGCCTCACCTGCTGTGTTGTGCACAGTCGAGAGCATTAGCTGAAACCATCTGATTTCAGTGTCATAAACTGGGCTGTGAATTGCAGCACCAAGTTGCCACCATGAGTTCTTCTACTGGAAATCAGTCTCTGGGGTACTATGGGCAGCTCTTAAATTGCCAAAGGGAAAGTGGATGATGCCCTGTTCAGTTCCCCACTTGCTGCACAAGGCCTCAGTACCATGATTTTAGGTACTTGGAAAGAACAGACCCAGAATGGTCTCTTATCTTTCCTACTGTGGATAGTATTACAGTGCAGTAGTGGGCACCAACTGTATGCATGTGACAGCTGCTGATAAGCATGCACATATAATCAGAGGTCTCTTCTGGGTCTTGTAGAACAAATCCATGACTCTGCATCTCATCTGAGCTCTGAACTATGTCCAGATAGCTATTCTTTTTTGCATAGCTGAGAAGAGTCTGAAGTGTCCTGGCTAATTGGTCTGGTCACAGCTAAGCCTTTCCTCATGAAAGGAGGAAACATTAGCCAAGGTGACAGAAGGCTATCAGTCTCACTGTGCACACTTCTACAAGCACCTTTCAGCTCCCTGATTTTGGCTGTCTGAAAATGTGAACAGCAAACGATCTGATCTGCTGGTCTTGAGTCCAGCCAGCCAGCAGGGGAGGGAGTAGCAAAAGGGGCAGGTACATGCACTCTGAAAATGAAACACTGTTTTTGTGCTTCTTAGCATAGCAAGATTTCAGTTGCTTATTTGTCTTAAGTCTACCAGCCTTATCTAAAATCCAGGAAGTATTAGCCAATGAAAAATGAAGACCATGGCAGTACTCTAATAGCAAAGGCAGCATTGGAGTAACATGGCTAATCACCTATTTGTTAGAGTCTTACTGTTTATTTTATTGCCAGTCAGTGAACAAAAAGCAGTCATGAGATGTTAATCTCAATCTCTCTAGCTGCTTAATCTTAACCACCCCCTCACCATTGTTCTCCTCATGTGCTTAGCAGCTATAACACCTCCTCCCCTTTTGTAATGACCTCGTTTCAAAGTACAATTTCTCTCTGCTTTGGCTTTTAAGCAGTCAGACTGCTGCTGCTTGAGTTGGAATTAAATTGGGTCAAGTCCTAGCAATGCTCTACTGAATTTCTTCGCAAGAAGAGACGACTTTGTTTAGAAGCGCTGGGTGCTCTAAGCTCTAGGAATGAGCCTGTGCTGACTGTGACACAGGCCCTGGAAGGAGAGGTAGGAGCTGCTAAATGGAATTGGATAGTGTGTTGCAGCAATCCTACTCCTGCAGAGTGAACTAACCAGGACAAAACATGTGATGCTGAAGAAATCCATGGCTAAAAAGTTCCTGTCCTCTCTAGCCTTCTCATCTGACACCCTTAAGCCTTCAACTTTGGCTCACGTGGCTTGAAAGACAAGTGGGGGATGCACAGTATGGCCAAGAAGCCCCGTCAACATCAGCACAAAGACTCACCAGTTAATCTAATTTGGAATGTACCAATATTTCCCCATGGAGAGCTCAAAATTGAAAGGCCGAGTGCTTACAGCAACTACATTTTATTTTAGACTGATTTTTAACAGGAAATAGGTGATAGATTAAAATAAACAGCTGTGAATATGGTAAGCTGAAAATAAGCTTTGAGTCCATGATGACTTCTAAGAGACCATTTGAATCACTAAGTATAACTATTCCTAGGCTTTCTTGTGTAGGGCTGTCTTTTGGCATCTCCATATATAGGCTCAGTGACTGACTAAGAATCAGCAGGCAGAAGAAGAAAAATGGTTTTGCTTCACAAGTGTTTATTGTTTTTTTTCCTTAAACAGATACTTTGCATTAGAGTACAGGACCATCTCCAAGGCATGGGTTAATGCAGCTGTACAGTGAGACCACACTTTGGATGGACATCTATTCCATGGCTAGAAGTAGCTGGGAATCTTCATTTCTATCATTTTTATGTGTAAAGATATCTAATGGAGTTAAACACACCTCTCAGCAATGAACATTTCTACTACCCCACTGAGCCCTGAAACTTGTATGGAATTAAGTAGGAAGAGTCCTATAGAAACACTCCACACTGTGTGCCCAGCCTTCCAGCCAGAGGAAGAGAGGAATGTGGAAACAGAACTGCATGCACCCAACTTGTAACCCAAGGTAGAATTAGTACAAGGATGAGGGTTGTGACAGCCCATCTAGGAAATGAGGAGTGTTCTTGGGCAGCACAGCATGAGCATAGCAAAGGTAGACTGCCAGAGATCAGCAAGCAGGGAATGGAAGACAGGCTTCAGTGCTACACTGGCACTACAGGGAGAGGCTTTTCCTTTAGCTAAGGCTTCTAAGGAAATAAGAAAGCAGGATGGTTACAGAGAAGAGCTGAAGAAACTGGGATCATCCTGAGAGGCACAACCCTTGTGACACATGCAGGGCAGCTCATTCCTGCCCCACTCTGGATCATGTGTGGGAGTTGCACAGCACTGTGGACAAGGGGAAGTGTGTACTCCCTGTCCCTGAAGTGCTTAATCCTCTCTTTAGATCTGTAAAAGTAGCATGGTGTGAGAAGCAGTAGGGATATACATTGGGAAAAAGTAAGCTCCCAACACACTGGCAGGGAAGCAGAAAAGAGGTGCCTAAGGGAAGAGGAGGGAATGTCAGTCTTGGATATAAGATATGAGAGGTGAGAAGGAAAGAACGACTGCTAAGATTTAAATACGGAACAAAAAGCAAAACAAACCAAACCAAAACACAGGTTGCAAATGTATTACCAAAGCTAAGGCAGCAGACATCCATTAGCTCACCTACAGCTAAGTGAAGTACACGAAGTCTGGGTCTTTATGTCTTTGCTTCCTTTGCATTCCTTGCTTTTGAATCTGTTCCAGGCTTCTCTGGAGGGATTCCTTGTTTTGCTTCTGTAACTCCCTGCTGGATGCAAACATTAATAAATGCAGGCACAGTATGCACAGCTGAATCCATCAGAAGAGATGAGGACTGCATGGCAGATCAGCTTCCCTCCTGCTGTGCAACATGTGATGCACATTGAACTCAGGGTTGCGCGGGAGCCCCTTTGCTTGGTAAAATCCAGCCCTGCTGCTGGAATGTTTTCTTAGCTCTCTTGCTCAGGGGAGCTGCAGCAAACAATAGACTTTAGCAAATCACAGACAAAGAGAAAGGCAGAGCGCAATTCATGTACATGTTAGGCTCATCTGACGTTATTGGCTTCTTTATGGAATCATTTTTTGTTTTAAAGAAAATATAGCTTCAACTTTTTTTAATTTTAAACCTAAAAGTGATAGTAGTAAATGTGTTTTTTAGGGCATAAGCCAGAAGAGTGCCTTCCATGTCTTTGTTTAATATTACTAGAATTGACTTTTCAGCTCATGAGTGACACCACCTGCCAAGTTGTTATACAGTTGCCATTAAAGTCCAATTTAGGATTGACGCTATGTTATAAATTAGTACTAGTATGAAACATCTTATGCTAAAACATGCTAAGAAGGTAGGACAAGAAAGGTTTTGTGGGCTCTGCGTGGCCTGAGGTGTGCTCTAGCTGTGACAGTCAGCGGTAGTGTTGCAAAAATAGTTTCACTGGCTCACGTGAATTCTTCAGACCTACTTTGTCAACCTGTTGCTTTCCTTTGGTCAGTGAGTCCAGTTTCTTGCTGTCCTTCTTAGCTCTCTTTGAACCAGGGTTGGTCTTTTGATTTGCTGCTGCTGTCCGGAACTTGATGCCTTGGGAGGGAGAAAGAGTCTCACATCACCTTGGGCTTATACAGTACCACCAGGCTGGCTTACAGACCTACTGCATGGGATCAGCTGCAATACGTGGTTGGAGGTAAGCGGTCCCACCTTCAATTTTCTAATGATCCTGAAGTTACTTTCATTTTTGCTGCACTTGGAAATGAAGCAGGGAAGGGGAGGGTGGCTCTTTCACTGGCCAGTAGCATAACTGACCTTTGCAGAAGTCCTGGTATTAACTGAAGCTTAAGAACAAACAAGTGATTGTCAGACATAAAGGCTGATTCTATTAGAAATATGTAATCTTACTGTTTACCTCAAGTTGAGGAAAATGCTCCCTTTGCAATTGTCATAAACTTGAGGAGCCTGAGCTAGACACTATTTCTAGGCTAAAATGAGAAAATGCCTGTACCTCCCCTCCCTGCAAGAGAATAGGCACAGACCAAGTTTGCACTATCCTTTCCACACGCAGCTGTTGGAGTTCAGCAGGCTGTAACTTGGTGGTTCTTCTGGGCCAGGCACTGCTGCCCCACATCCCCCTGCCCTGGCCTTGTGGGATTTGGAGTGAAATGTGCTTACTTTGCTTCCGGGTGAACTGTGCAGCTTCAGGGGCAGTCAGCATGGCAAATGGATGCAGGGAAAGCTTGAAGGGTTGAATCCAGTGGTTCTGGAGGGACAACAATTTGTGGATTAGTATGTGTGCAGAAACTATGTGCCTCGCCAAATGGGCATTCTCTTTTGTGGTCAGCAGAAAGTAAGATAACTGCTTCAGAGGTCCTGATGGATAAATGAGGACAACTTTGCTGACAGTTTTGTCCTGCCTGCTTGTCCCACCCAGCTTCTTGAAGTGCCCATTCCCACTGTCCAGACATTTCAGTTGTCCACACAGTAGCTGAAGTGCTGCATTTCCAGCCCTGTGTGTACTGGTGCAGCCTAGGGATTGTGGTCTGCTATAACATCCTGGCAGCAGCCTGCAGCTCCTCAGCTGTTCATATGGCAGCTCCTGGAATATCCAGACAACAGAGCAGGAAACTCTGAGAAGTAGCAGGCAGTCAAGATAGCAACCATTACATCCATCTCAGGCTAGGATGTCCCTTCTTATGAATCAGAATCCCATTAGGATGTGACTTAGCTCCCTAAGTATCTATACATCTTGGTGTAGTTAGTGCTTGATTTTCAAGGAGATCCAAGCCAAAGTCTCAGAATTGATGGGGCATAACAGGATTCTCCACCATTTTATTTTAATGGGAAACAGGGAACAAAAAAAAGATAACCAGAGATCCACAGAAACTGAATTTTGAGATGGGCTGGATTCCAGCTTTTTGAGTCTAGGACTTTTTAAGAGGCACAAGCTGTGCTCCAAGAGTTACAGTTAATGAAAACGGCAGATTTAACCTCTTAAACTAATGAGGGCTTTGCAAAATATATTACCCTCAGTTTCCAAATTCAGCAAAGCATTTCCATTCCTTTCCCAGAGTGGAAATGATCTTATGTCCATGATTAAAGCTAAGCAGTGTTGTTGGCTGAAATGAAAACTGGATCCTGGTAGCAATGGTTTATCTTACTCTTTAGAAAATTTTGTGACTTTGCTATTGTCCTGGTTTAAGCCCAGCTGGTAGCAAAGTACCACATAGCTGTTCGCTCACTCCCCTCCTTTTCCCCTGCTTTAGGTGGGATGGAGAGGAGAAGTGAAAGAATGTAAATCCCACAGGTTGAGATAAGAACAGTCCAATAACTAAAGTACAATATAATACTATTACCACCGATAATTATAAGGGGAAATAACAAGGGGAGAGAATATAAAACTAAAAAGGGAAAGGAAGAAAAAGTGATGCACAATACAATTGCCCACCACCTACCACCTGATACTCAGCCTGACCCAAGCAGCGATCTGGGCCTTCCGGGTAACTCCCCCAGTTTATATACTGGGCATGATGTGCTGTGGTATGGAATAGCCCTTTGGCCAGTTTGGGTCAGGTGTCCTGTCTCTGCTTCCTCCTGGCTTCTTGTGCCCCTCCTCCCTGGCAGAGCATGAGAGACTGAAAAGTCCTTGGTTGGAGTAAACATTACTTAGCAACAACTAAAAACATCAGTGTGTTATCAGTATTGTTCTCAGGCTAAAGCCAAAACACAGCACTGCACCACCTACTAGGAAGGAGAAAAAAACCTGCTACAGCTGAACCCAGGACAGATATCTCATGAGTAGCAAGGAAACATCCCCAAGTCCACTAGGGACAGGATCTAGGCAAGTGCACAGTAACAAGAAGTGAACAGAAAGACTGGTTTTGTTCTTTCGTCTCTGATTGCATAATATCAGAACATAAATCAAAGGTAAACACCCCACTATCTCCCCCCCAAAATAAAAACCAAAACCCCAAACAATTACGAGAAACACAAAAAAAACCCCAAAAATCCCCCCCCCAACCAACCAACCAAAAAAATTAAAACAAAACAAACCAAAAAACTCCAAACAAACCACCATGGGAAGCAGCGTGAGTAGGTGGAAAACTTTCAAGAAAACACCACTCCTCCCCCATGTATGGTGTGCACGCAAAATAGAGATTTCAAAAAATATCTTGGGTTGGGAATTCCTACAGAAAAGGATTCTTGCCCATAAGAAGCATGACAATAAAAATATACAGTGTAATGTCCACAGCAAAAGGAGAGAGAGCTGATCTACCCACTTATCTCAGGAGCAGAGTGGAAGATCCCTCCTAACATGTGAACTAACACGTGAAATGCCCCTACATGGCATCAGGTGGCATTTCTAGTTCTTGACATGGGAAAATTCAGCTACAAGGTTATGGCCAAGGCTGTTCTGGTGCATGTAACTGTGAGTAGGAGTGAGCTCTAGCTGTTTCTGGACACAGGGTGGCAGCCCATCATTAATATTACTGCTAAGCATGACTGAGGTAAACAAAAAATAAACTAAGAGCACCAGAAACACGGTGGGTTACATGTGAATCATTTTTTTATACTCTGATTACAATTCCACAGCAACTTCTAATGGTTGCTTGGGAAACATCAATAAAGTCTGTGTTACTGACAATAAAACCTATATATTCCAGCACAAATGCTCTTTCATTAGATGGCTGGGCCATACAGAATGCTTTGTTGTGATTTGAGTCATGAATTGAAGAGTATACTACCTTCCCTGTTTTTTTGAAGGGCAATTACACTTACATGACTAAAGAAATGCTGCTAGAGAAACTTGCTCTGAACACAGGCAAGGCCCTTGTGAAGCAGGCTCTATATCCTTGGAATTGCACAGCCTCTTTCTCCGTTCCACATGAGTGGTAATCAAAGCACGCCAGTGTGAATGCTGCTCTGTAAAGCACTATGCCAAAGGCCCAGGAGCTGGGTTACATCTTAGTGTGGTTGTGAGTAATTGGGCTGCCCTTTTCTTGCCTGGCACGCTGTAAAGTAGATGTCAAAGAAGATGTCAAAAAGCATGGGGTAGACTCTGCAAGGCCAGTGTGATGCTGGCAATGGTGAAGGCCTTTTAAGTATGTTTAGGAATGGGATGCTGCTTTAAGACTGGGGCTAAGGCAGGTATTAGTTCCGGGGCAGGATAGAAGTGAAGAGTTTTACCTGGTGAAATTTCTGCAGTGCCAAGATGAGTCCTGATTAGTAAAGCTGGACAAAGTATCTCCTTTTGGTCTACTGAACTGGTTTTGTCTGTATCCATCTGGTTGTGCAGTTACATTTGTCTGCTGTATCCAGTTTTACATGGACCAAATACTTTCTGTTTTTGGTAGCCTGGGGATAATTTCCAGTAGAGGTCCAACAGAGGAACAGTATAATAGCCTCTGCCCTTTGAAGAAGAAAAACTTCTCCCTGAAGGTCAGCTACTAAAGACAAAGGTTTTATGTGCTTGCTTCCCCTGCGCTACCACTTTGTTTGCTTGGGTTGGCAAAGTCCCATACCAGTATGCAGGCCAGAAAAGAACCGTGGAGTCTGCAATCAGCCAGGCATTTGAGCCAAAAGAGGCACGCCAATAAAAAGTCTCCATAAACCTCTAAACCCGGAAGCACATCATTCAAATATTCTAGCATGCAGTGTGTGACTTTTAGACTAAAGATGAAGTAGGGATTTTAGAAGTAGCCCTTATGCTGCTAGTGGTTTCTGATCCCAGTGGTGGTGTAAAGAAGCAAGCATCAAGAGGTCAAACTCCAGAAGTTAAAGTACAGTAAGCACCTTTCATTCCCTGCCTAGTCTCAACTTCCTCTCTTTTTTAATTTTTTTTTTCATGGTTACATTCAGTTTGACCCAATTACTTCTGTGAGGTGATGGGTGGCAAAGGAGGCTGGGCTTGTGACTGGTTTCTGTCTGATGTTTCTCTGTACTCCTTACCTTTCCTATGTGCTTTTGTCCCTGCAGGCCATGGCGTGAAGGGGATGCCTCCTTCCAAGAGCATGTCTCTCTTAATAGTCACCCCACATGTCTCCTTACCCATGTCCTCGTATCTCCTCCCCTAGAGCTGCTGCTCTTTCTTAAGTGTTTACATAGAGGTGCCATGTGCTCCTCTGGCTGAAGTTTTGGCTTGTGCCTGGCACAGACAAGTACCTCTTTGGCAGCCAGATGACAATCCCAAAGGAAGTGCTAACATCAGATAAAATTCACACTGTCATACCTAGACTGTGGTCTTGAATGCTACCTGAATGCTTTTATTCTGCTGTAACAAGGAGATGTGTGAGAGTTTATTGTACTGATGTTGCCAGCTATCATCCACATATCCTCAACCACTGCTGGTCGAACAATAGTGATTGTTTTTCACAGAATGAAGTCCCTTCCTTTATTAGTATGAGAGAGCTGGAATAAACAGGAGCTATAATAGACCCACACTCAGTAAGGTCTGCAAGCAACTAAGAAATGTGCTGTAGTCTGCAGCTTTGACACGCACCTTTGGAATGAAGTAACTACAACTGCACATGTAAGCTTTATACCTTGTTATGATGCTAAAAGGTCAGCCACAAGGCAGATGTGAGAAGGGAATAGTTCAACCGCGTTTACTCTGAATGAGAAAAAAACTAATCCACATGTGGATCACATTCCCAGGATGCCAGCCCAATGCACCACACGATGGACCAGTCCACACAAGTAAGAGAGATCTTTACTCAGATCCGTATTAGAGATGATGAAAAACTGACATATCACTCACCTTTGCAGATCTCTGACAGCGTGTTTCTGAGGGCCTGTAAATCTCAAAGATCTCTTCAACAGGAATGCTGTTCTGTGAAGGCAGGTAAAGAAAGAGGATCAGCTCTCAGTAGTATTCTTTAAAGTGAATGTATGAAATCCAGCTCATAACCCTTTCATTTCATCTCCTTCATGTGAATTCCTAGTATTGTTTCATACTGCTACAAACCTATTGAGATCTGGTCCTGAAACTTGCTCACCGTTTTGCACTTGGGTGAGACAAGGTAAGTAGCCTATACAGACACATAGGATCACCTACTGAAACTGCCTATGTTTTCTGTTTTCTAAGGCTGAGCAAAATTTAATGGCTACCTGATAAAAATGAGAAAGATTTGTACTATTTGCACTGTTTGTATACTGTGCTTTCAATGAATATAGTCATTCAGACTACAGGAAGTGTTTCTAGACAGATGCCATAGAGCAAAAGATATTTGTATCTTTCTTGCCCACTTACCATCAATATTCCAGCATATGAAGATAATATCATAGCTTCTCTCTCAATTCGGTTGGGATATGTGTATCGGTTGTGAGCCGCAAAATTCCTGTATGGTGTTCTAAACAAGAAGATTATTAGCCTGGTGTTATATATACAAAAAGTAGTCCTGAGCATGATTCACTGCTGCTTTTACTCCATTTTCACACTGGTGTAAACCACTGCAACAGTGGGGGCTTAGCTTTGCAATACTCACATTTTCTCTCTTGTCAGTGCAGTCTGAACATTCAAGTCACGTAGCCACAGCAAAGCAATGCTGAAGGCTAAGCTGTAATGGACCTGGAAAGACAGTATAACCTTACGTGCTTTGTTTCACTGTCATTGCTTAACTGAGGGATGACAGAAAGATCAGAGAAATGCAGGGAAATGTGAGCTGGAGCCCAGTATTGTCTCAACTACACTGGGTACCTCACCAGTTGTAGGATACTTGCTGAAGTCTGAGGGGTTTTAAACACACCAGGAAGGCTTTCTCAGCTTAGCTGCAAGACATTTGGTTATACACAGACAGTTTTAGTTTGTGAAGAATTCCCTTTGGTTAGCTGACTTGAACTTCATCAAATGTTCCCTGTGGATAAGCTTAGCCTTGCTGGAAAATCAGCAAAAACTTGAATTATATTGGGTACATTTCACCTGGATGCTATTCATAGCCAGTCTCTTGATACTCATAACAGTAATAGGCTTTTATTGATGATTATTTACAGATAGCTTAGCTGACGATAGTTTACAGATTATTTAGCTGTACCAAACAGACATCCTTCAGAGTTCTCATAGCCACGCAGTTAAAGAGGGTAAGAAGTATGGTGATTACCATGTCATCTAGAAAAGTGGGCTGCCTTTGTCCTCTTGGATCAAACTCATTTTCTTGTAGTCTGATGCCAACATAATCTCCCCTTAAAGCAAGAAAATAACTCCAAATTACAACTGGTTCTAAGCAATCCAGTGCATAAGAAATGCAATAGATTAAAGCTAGTGCAAGACCGAGGCTAAATTTGCTATGATTCAGGGCTAAGAGTCTGCTGCAGGACTTCTCATAGACACCTTCTAAATAGGAAAGCTGTTAATTTTCTGCATTACAGCTAATACTAACTTCACTAAAACACTCTGCTGTCTTCTCCAAGGGCTCCAAAATATAGAAGTAAGTCCAAATATAAATTAAGTATTTAGAGTCTGGAGACTCAGAAGGATTTCACTGTATGGCAAAAAGGCTGAAAGAGATGCTTCACTGGTGGTTGTTCTTCACGTTCAGGGGAGGTCTGATTCTGCAGTTTTTTCTCCAACTAAATACTACTGATCCATCCAAGCAGTCCTAGAGGAGATGGGCACTTGTAGGACTTGTATGGAATACATGGGACATTGCTTTCATCCTCTAGGAGCTGCCTGCTGAGAGCTTCTGAATCGAGAGCATGAGACCCTGATTTGTGAACTAGGAGACACATTACAGCAGCTGCACTGGCTGCATGGCAAGGGAGGAACTCTGCACCTCCCTAGTCGGTCCCACTGACATAAACTATGTTCTAGGCTGTGACATTTCTACTGTCACATATGTAGTCAGCTGTCACACAGTGGACTGCATCTGAGAAAATTAAGAGCATCTCAAAGGAAGAATCTTCTACATCCCAGCAAGAAAAGACTAAGGTTTTAGAGCTGTCATCCAGCTAGGTCGTACAACCCTTTGCAACAAAACCAAGTCCACCTCAAATGCAGTGAAGGCAGTTGTGGTCAGTTGCTACTTACAGGAGTTTTTCAACCTCTTTCTTCAGGCGTTTTCTTTCCATACTCTAGCTCCTGTAACAGACGCTCAATGAGATCTAGGAGAGAGAAAAATGCATCCCACCAAATATCTCTGTCAGTAAGCAAATCTAAATCATAGCTACTGTACGGGACACTTGGAGAACCCCTACAAAAATCCAGCTGAACCCATTTCCCAGGTAAGATTACAATAGAAGCTGAGAAAAATCTAGTTAAGGAAGACAAGACAACATGCAAAACACTGAAACTGGTAAGGAGTTTGGTAATGGGAAATAGGCAGAATGAGCCCATTTAAAATAAGCATCAATCTGAGTGACAGTGATGTATATCCTCACATATAATGCAATCTATTAATCTGCTGCTGCTTCTGAGTTTCTTGGCACATGGCTCGCTCTTGATGCTGTATGTGTATTAATGAGATCTATGTGGTACAAAGAAGGGATGAACTGGGAAGAGGAAAGGGTGGAAGAGATGAGGTAACAGCTGGCCTGACAGGACACAGCAAAGAGAGAAGCCAGCGCCTGGCCCACCAATTTATTGTAGTATTAAAGGACAGGCTTCATTCCTTTGCTCCGTTATATACAAAGTAATAACATGCCTAGTAAGCTCTGTGTTACTGGATATTGTCCCCCTATTCTCTCTTTCACACATGTATAAAAGAAATCCCACACTACCTGTGTCAGCTCTTGGAATAGGCCTCAGGATCTGGGTTTGGAGCCTCTGACTTCAGGTATCTGTGAGGAGGAATTCCCTCTTGATGTTGCTGTTCCTTTCTTGCCTCTGCCACTCAGTCTGTGTGCCAGGGTAATTACACTATGGCTTCACACAGGACTGCAGCTTTCTCCCGTTGCTTAGAAACAATGCTGCTGAGCCAAATTAAAAGGGAAACAAAAACCAACAAACAACACAGAGAAAAGGTTAAACCTACACTTTCTGGTTGGGCTGCTGGTTTCAAGCTAAATGATCCTTTTACACTGCTAGGCATTGAGTTTCACTGCTGAGTGGCTAGCTGGAAACAGAAGACTTGCTAACAGGGGAGGCAGAGACTATTCACTGTGCTTTCTGATGGGTCTGATTGCTTGAAAATGACACTGTCAGCTTCCACTGTTCTAGTGTTCCACTGTACAGAACAAAAAACTAGATCTGATACCTCCCAAGAGCCCATCTGGGGTTCCATTTGCAGTATCTATATCATTTCACAAGGATCTTGCTACTTGTTCTTTTATCAATGTTATGTTTTTGCTTATAGTATTAGAAGAAATTCTAACAGGCAAGAAACTCCAACATGTCTTACTAAATCCTGCTGTTATCCTTCCAGTGGATGCAGGCATATTTTGCACAGGAATGCTGGTGGCAGCCAATGCATCATGATGCCTAGCAAGTTGGTGAGAGGTAATTGGATTTTGTAGATTAGGAAGGTTTGCAGGCTCTACTTCTGAATGGAATGAGCCATCTGCCTCCTTGAGAATGTACTTCTCATGTTATTAACTGATTAGCAAATAAATAGTAGGAATGGGTTTATGAGACATAATCACAATATTGCCTTTCTTTGTGATGGCCTAAGAAAAAAGTAAATGCATTACCATGAGACATGAGATGTTTTCCAGGGAAAAGCCTACTTGGTATTTACAGAATCTGTGCTGTGCTTTCCCAGCTCAGATTTACAGAGTTTGTGTTGTGTATGTGCCTAGGCAGGTGCAAGAGGTAAAGGTGGCAGACATGGTTCTGCCACCTACCGTGTCTTTCTTTGCCATAGCAGCAGAAAGCCAGGCGGGTGACCACTGAGGGAGAGATGGAGTTTGGGAATTACCCGTCCTTGCAGCATTAGATGCTTATGGTCATTCTCATTCTTATTAATTCTATGGCAAAAGGAGCAACAAGCTTAGAGTGCTTCCCCACCTTTCATTCCAGCTGCAGGGTTTGTAATAAAATTGGATTTGATTTCTGAGGGCACCTGCCTGTCAGGCATCATAGCAACCCTGCATCCCCAACAGAACTACTGCTTGTTTGCTATCAGAAATGCAGATCTACTGCCTGCCTTTCCTCCAGTTATACCTACCCAGGGCTTATCTGCTGGTGTGGCCAGGTGAGTGTGAAAAGTGACCTTTGCAAAGTGAACACAGCCATGCCAGGACTGACCCAACGTCCTGCTAACAGAACCCCCCTCCTATTACGTGGCAAGGGTGATACCCTGATGAAGACAGTCACTTTCCTGAAAAGAGGCTGGTCCAGAGCCCTGGGGTGAGCTGCACCCCGGTATTTCCCCAAAGCAAGAAATGCTTCTGTACCATTGCAAGGCAGGGAGCTGGGTGGTGGCGCTGTGTTTGTGCTCTTCCGGCGGTGGGGAATATCAGCCACTAGTGGATACCCGCGGAAGAGATGGAAGAGCTGCACCACTAGCATCAAACTTTCTCAGTGTATTTCCCCATTCTCTACTGATTTGTAACTCAGGACCTTCTTAAGCTAAAACTATTGTCTTGGTAGTCAATACCCCTTCAATGTTTTTTTTACTTCCACAAACCTGCCCAATGACATTTTAAAACCCGAGTAATTGACATCTGCGAAGATCTCCAGTGTTTAAATAGGGCTGCATGGGAAAGTCCCTGGTTTTAAGCAGTTCACTGTTAATTTAGTTTGCTGACCAGTGTGCTTAACAAACTTAGTAAACTTAGCAAGTTTAGGCCCCTCAAACTGCGGAATTTGTCATTCACGGAGCACAATTCATATTAGAGAAAGATACTTAAGTCTTTTCACCACACCATAGCACATCTAATGAGAGTCACAGGTTCCCCAGAGCAAGAAATAAAGCAACACACAAGTCTGCATGTCTGCAGCATTGTTACCCACTGCAGGTCCAATTTTCAGGGCCGGTATGGGGGGTGTTTTGTCAATCTGCTATTAAGTTGGAATAAATTTATTATTTGCATTATTTAATGCTCATCAGCAAATGTATTAACGAATACCACATAAAATAGGATCATGACTTAGGACTCTCGCAAAGTGCTACCATCCACATGCCAGCAGGTAGAAGAATTTTACCAGCCTTGTTTGTATTGCAAAATCCCTCTGCACCGGCATTGTAAATTACTGTTCTTCAAACTGTTCGGCTTTTTCCTTACACGTAATTTCCTTAACATAGTTAACATCATCACATCTGCACATGCAATGTCAACTTCCCGATGATAAATTCAAAGGTGTCCTGAAAGCAAAGCATTAACTTGGGCTGAAATGTAAATTACTTAAGAAAAAAAAAAAAATCCTTTCTAATAGGCTGTAAAACGTCACCTTTTCAGAGGTGAAAGGTGCAAGCCGGGTGCTGAATTCTGCGGGCGAACAAACTCTAACTTTTGGGTGAGATTTGTCCATCTGAACAACCCTAGGGCTTTTCTGTGGCGCCTCAGGAGCTTTTCAGCCCTGCCTGCCCGGGGCAAGGCGGCGGCAGCAGCGCCTCACGAGCACTGCCTCTAAGTCGGGCTCTTCCAGCCAGACGGGATCGGGGCTCCGGCTGAGCAGGCGGCGTTTCGCGGCCCCCTCTCCCCGTCAGGGCGGAGACCTC